GTTTTTCTAGCTTTCATTGTGGCCTGATTTTGAGCCTTAGCTGCGGCTTGATTTTTGGCCTCTGCTGGTTTTCGGTTTGCTTAAGGATGGCTGGGTTTGGATTCATTGCCATAAATTGTATTTGTAGCTTATAAAATTGTGGTTTCTAGCCTCCATTGGAGCTCGGTTTTCACCTTAGAAGGGCATGAGATGTTGGTTCTTTTGAGGCTTGGCTTTTGGTTTTGGTTGAAACATTGTCCTAACTGTTTAAGCTTCACGTATGAGCTTTGAGTGGTTTGCTTTTGGCTTTATTTGGGGGCTCGGTTTGCTTGCCTTAGCTCCTATCCGAGAGCCCGTTTTTTTCTGTTTATTCCTACCCCTGCTCCATAACTGTGGGAGGGTTTGGCTTTATTTGCTTTAACCCCTTATTTGCTTTAATATTCCTACCCCTGCTCTATAGCTGTGGGAGGGTTTGGTTTTATTTGCTTTAAACCCTGCTAGGGGCACTTAAAAATCATCTTGTGAGTGTTTTTGACTTAAAAATACATGTTGTGGAAGAATTTATTTTGATTTGGAGGAGTTCCATAACTATACTTGTTTAAAACATATAGTAGTCCTATATTTTGATGTCTTGAGGGCATGGAGATGTTTTCTAGTCTTTGTTGTGGCCTGGGTTTGAACCTCAGCTATGACTCGGTTTGGCCTGGCTGGGAGCTCGGTTTTGCCTTGTCCTGCCCGTACTCGAGAGATCGCTTGGGTTTTGATTTTTGTTGGCCTTAGCTCCTACCCGAGAGCCTGTTTTGGCGTACTGTGCTGTCCTTATTCCAGAACTGTTAGCTGGCTTTGATGGATTGGTTTGGAAGTTTATAAGGCTGCAGCTTTGATATTTGCTTGGACCTAGTTTTACTGTGATATATGCCTCGGTTTGAGGCTTGATTCTCTGTTCTTATGTTTATTCTTGCCTCTGAGTCCTGGTGTGGGGTTGGCAGTGGGCATAGTGGCTTCTCCCTACTACCTTTATCCGAAAGCTTTGTGGGGTTTGTTCTCCTACCCGTGAGTATCATTGGCGATTGTCTGCCTTGGTTGTGTGTTGCCTTGCAGCCCTTACCCGAGAGCCTATTCCTCTCATCTCATTGTTCCTAGCCGTGGGTTTGTGATGTGGTTGAGTTAGTCTCCCCCTTTGGTCCTACCCGTGAACTCACTATTGAAATTTGCCCCTCTTGGAGTCCTTACCCGTGAGCCCCTTTGGGGTGTTCTTATGCCCTGATGTCCCTAGTTACCTCGGCCGTGAGCATTTATGTAGCTTTATTGGAAGGTTCTATGTTTATTTGATATATGAGGCTATTGATTAATTTAGGAGTTGGAAAACCTTAAATTCGACATGAGTTTGGAAGTGCTAGTGGTGGTCTTCTCCAGGCCATTTTCCTTTTGTTCAATTTGTGGAATTTGGAAGATTTTCAAGTCCTATTTGGGAGAGTGTTTGATTGAGACGAATTGATTTCATAAAAGATATCTTTGGGGTTTGGATGCTGGCGTTCGAAGGTCATTTGTGTGTTATCGTCACATTGACTTGGGTTAAACCACTTATAAAAATGTGAGAAAGTGATATCCTATCGGATTGATTCAAGGATCTTAGGGTCTTCTTTTTCAGGTCTTTTCGTCATGAGTTTTGAGAGCTGATTCATCCTCCGTTCTTTTCGATGTTTTAGGTGGATCAGTCCCTCCTCTCTCTCACCCCATTTTTGTTTTTTTTTCCTAGCTTCTTGGTTTGGTTTTTGATGCTTATGTCTGATACATAAGTGTCCACGTATAACCTTTTGCTATACGTGAAACCATCAAGCTAGGTCGTAAGTAGTTCGGTTTTGTTTTGGGGCTTAGGGGGGTGATGACAACTGCACACCGATGATAAAATAGAATGATGTTCCATTCTACGACTTCGGGACACCCCCCTACGGACCCGGTGAACCGTAGGATGTCATATCGTAAGTAGTTCGGTTTTGTTTTGGGGCTTAGGGGGGTGATGACAACTGCACACCGATGATAAAACAGAATGATGTTCCATTCTACGACTTCGGGACACCCCCCTACGGACCCGGTGAACCGTAGGATGTCATATCGTTCACCGACATAAGTCTAGTGGGAGTTGACCCGTATCTTCTTAGGTTGTCAGTGGTCCTACGCCCAACAACGTGATTGACTCGTGGACAACTACACTTTTCAAAATTGATGAAAAACAAATTTGACAAGAACAGATACACCTTTTTCTAAACAAAAATATATTTTTCGCTACAAACAAAATTGATAAAACCCTCTTTTGTATGCCTGAAATCTATGTGCATGCTAAAAACATAAATTTTAAATACATTTTAAAGATTGGTTGTCCATCTTTTGATTACCTGTTTGGGCTAAGGAGTACCAGCCTAAGTTAGGTTCGATAGGACACTCTTCTAGTTGAGTGACGGACTTTATACATCCGGTCGACCGAGTAGCCTTCGACGACCTTCGAGTACAAACATATATCTGAGCCTAGCCCCGACCCGAGTGCTTGCGGTCCCCAAGTGCTTGCGATCCCCTCTTTTCGAACTTTTTCATATGTTTTATTGAAATTTTTGAACAAAACACTCGTGGTCTTTTCTCTGGGATTTTCCCGAGATTTTTTTTTAATGATTTTATTTGAATTGTTACCCGTCGATTTTCTCGAGTTTTTCGTCATGGATTATTCGTTGATTTTTCTTGAGCTTTTCATCGTGGGTCATTTACCGTCCTTTCTCGGGTTTTCTGGGTGACGTTTCTTTTCTTTCTTGCTCTCATTTATGTAATGAATTTC